ATCCATCCATCCATCCATCCATCCATCCATCCATCCATCCATCCATCACCATCCACTGTCCTTTCTCCACTCCGTGCTTGTCTGCAGTCACTTCGCCCGGCGGCCGCTGTGGAAGAAAGCAGCGGGGGAAACGGCGCCAGGTCTTAGAGCTCCAGTTGATCAAGGTCCGCGCGGTAGCGACGGTGACGACCGGGGTGAAACTGCCGGACCGGTGGTGCTGAGGGCTTGGATGGTCTTGGCATGTCTTGGCTGAGGGTCCAAACTGTGGAGTCCTGTGGAGTCTCTTCTTCCAAGTAAAATGATCAGTTGTGTAAGGAAGAAAGAGATTGGCTACGAAGTGTGCCAAATTTCGAGGAAGATATATAGATTTTAGATGCACGGTCTGGCCAGCGGTGGTGGCTTAGGGCGGGAGGTCATGAAGCGAGCATTGGCCAACGGCTGTCTTAAGGCTTGGAGAGACCTCATGGGAGAGAGACTGACGGTCCGATTCCCACCCTATAGGATCGGGTTGAAAGGGACAGATGGGATTCATTCTACAGAAATCTAGAGGTATCAGCTCATCAACATTCTCACAGAGGTACCAGGAGTTGAGAATCAGGAAGAGAGACTGAGAGATAGTCAAGCCTTAGAAGCACATTCATCAAGCTACAACAAGCACACTCACTTTGTCACTTCACCGCTTCGCTCGGCTTCGCTTCCTCCAAGGTCGAAGGAGCAGCTCAGCTTTAAGTTTGGACAGGAAAGCCCAGCAATGAAGCTCTTAAGATGAATGCTCAGTCACTAGTGTGACCCCCTTGGACTTAAGATGACTTAAGATTTATTTTTGTCCTGCTCAGAAATGCTCGGAATTCGAAGAATGCCTGTTGCACGAGATGGTATGTGTTCCCATACCCATGTGTTCGCATACCCTCACAATACCCATGCTCATGACCTATGGATCTTACAGATTCACTCATGACTTGTCGTGACAGATTTTTGTTACCGTGCTTGTAGGCTCGAGGGGTTTGTGAAGTTGTTTTTGGTGAGGAGATGGATGGGGGTGCTTGCACCCCCGATCCTGAGGATGGAGCCAAAATGCTCAACGTCCTCACCGAAATAGGATTAGTTGGCCCCCGCCTTGCAGTCAGCCATGGTTCAGAGGAATCCCTGGCAAGGCAGCTGGCTGAGCGGCTTGGGTTGGAGGCCAGGCCGTGGCATGTGTCCTTTGTGAAAGGACAAGTCCGCGAAGCGGTCCAGATGGCAGATCTCGACAACCGTGTTGTGATCTTCGTCGAGGTCTATCCAGAACCTTGCGGACGCCAGGGTAGCCATGGAGAAGGAAAGCAAACCCCTTGAGCCACAGGAGAAAGCTCCGGTTCCTCTGGTACTGCCCAAGCGAGGCACGCTGGGGAGGACAGTACGCTTGAGAGGGGGCCGCATCGCTGCAGAGGGTGAAGTCAATGACAAGGTCCTCTGCAAGTTGGTTGATGAGCTCAAGATATTTGATGCACCCGTACTTGGCGACATCGTGAAGGCCATGAACCCAAAAAGGGCACAGGACGCATTGCTGGGGAAGTACCGGCTGTCGACGGTCAGGCGATACCTGGCTTCATGGCAACGCTTCCGGGTGTGGGCCGAGTCCATGGGCAAACCGGGGCAAAGGCCAAATTCGGTGATGCTGGTGGATTACATGTATGCACGAGAGGAGGAGGGTATGGGTGCATCCATACCCCTCGCAGTTAGCACAGCAGTGGCCTGGTTTGAGCGAACGGCAGGCATTCCTGACGATGAGCAACTGATGGCACAAGCCTTCCCCCGGATGGTGATGAAGGAGTTGACGAAGAAGCTTGAGCAAAATGCTCCACCAGTCCGGCGAGCGCCTCGCTGGCTCGGATGCTTTGTGGCACCAATGGAGACCTTGGTGGTGGATGGTGCAATGCCGCTGAAGGTCAGAGTGTGTGCCTGGTTCAAGCTTCTAAAGCTCTGGACCTCGATGAGGTTTGACGATGCAGCACATCTGAAGACGTCGGAGGTGCGCTTCTATGATGGACAGCTCATGGGGATCATACGCCAGTCCAAGACGTCGGGGGCCGGCAAGCGAGTTCGGGAACTGCCGATCTTCATCACGAGGGATGCCTACGTGGTCCAGGATGACTGGCTGGCGGTTGGTTTTGATTTGGTGAAGCTCAAGATGCCGAGGGACCGAATTTATGTGTTTCCGGATTCCGGAGGGCTGCTTCTATGGCACGAAGTATGGAGTCTCGCATGTCACGTATGCGGAGGCAGTGTCGGGGAGTGCTCGGACGATGGCACTTCTGGAGGGATACAAGGGTAGGTTGATTCCTTCGGGATGGGAAAGGTTCTGGTCCGAACATAGCGAAAGAGCAACCCTGCCGAGCGGCTTGGCAGCCTTAGGCGTGGAGAAAGGTGATCGTGACTACCTTGGGAGGTGGTGCCCTGAGGGCTCAGATGTCTATGTCAGGACCTACAACGCCATCGTGAGGAAGATGCAGAGGAAGCTGGTCAGTGTCTTGAGAGGCGAGACCGCCTATGAAGACTTGGACGAAGGTTCGATCCTGGAGGAGCTCAAGGCGTGGCTGACGGAGAAGTGGACGGTCCCTGAGGATCAAGCCGAGAGCGTAGTCGAAGCCTGGAAGGACCAGATCGGAGCGAAGGGCAGGCCTCAAGCAGTCATTCCGCTGTCGGAGGACGACGCGACGATCTATGATGACTCGCAGAGCGACAAGGGTGGAGATGAGCCGGCCCAGAAGGACCCCAACAAGAGGAAGATTGGTGACCCTCTTGAAGAAGAGAGGGAGGGCAACTACGTGGTCGTGTACAGGCGTGCTGGCCAGGGGACGCTCCACCGGCTGGGAAGCAAGGGCTGCTGGATGGCAAAGAAAAGGTATTTCGTGAGCTCAGAGGTCCACGAGAACCTGCCAGAGCCCGAGGTGTACACCCTCCGATGCAAATTGTGTTGGGGTGGTGTTGAGCGAGTCCACAAATGACTCACATGACGAACTGAGTCTCAGCGACTAAAACGGCTGCTGGGGAGGGAGTGAAGCTTTGAAGAGCATTAGGTTGAACCCTTGGTCGCACCAAGGGGCGGTTGGGCGGTGAGTCCATGTCAAGCCATGGGTAGCACCTGTGGAGGGGCAGTAGGATGATGGGACCCCGGGCCGAGCGAGCCGCTCAGGCACTGGGGCGGAGCGCCGCTTGCGCACGGGAGCCCGAGTCTGCGGAAGAGGCGGGGTCGCACCTCACAGCACGCAGAGAGGGGGCATCACATCGCATGTGAGCGGTTTTGTGCATAGCGTGCACGATAGGCACAGCAGTGTCACGGCGGCATCGCATGCTGCACATCTGGCCGGCGTGTCCAGAGAGGGCGGGCTCAAGCCTGTGGGGCGAGCATGCCTCGTGCGGTCCTCACGGATGCTGAGGGCACCAGGGCCTTGGAAGCGGCAGGCACGGACCTCAAGTATCTGCTGTCAAGGCACGAGGTGAGCATTGACAACCAGAAGTTATTTTTCCATCATGGTGTTACAACACTGGAGAAGCTGTCGAATTTTGCGAAGGATCGTGAGGATCTTACAGCAGTGTTGAAAGAACATTGGGAGTTGGACTCGGAGAGGACGCTGGACGAGAGAGTTCAGGTGGCTGCCATAGTGTGCGCGTTCAGCAATGCAAAGACGAGGAGCCAGCGAGCGGCAGAAGTTGATGCCGAGTACGACTCACTCCAGTGGTCACGCCCGGTGGTGGCAGGGGAATGGGCAGCTATGCGCTCAGCATTGGAGAAGCGCTACGGCTACCTGGAGGACAAGATATACCCTGCAAAAGAATATGTTGAGAAGAAGTTGGCAGAGGTTGAAAGTGGTGAATACCGTGCCGAGGAGCTCACGGAGATCGTGTCAAAAGAAGAAAGCGAGCCGGAGACTGTGGTGCCCATCTGGGACTCAAAGGGCCGATTGGCCATGAAGAAAGGCTCGACGAAAGTGCAGGAACCGGCGAACGCCGAGGAACTTCGAAAGAGATTGACAGTTTGGAAGAACGCCATGGTCATGATATCACTGAAGCACTCCAACAGGCATGAGCTGCAAGGCACATGGGAGGAGACCGTGGAGCAGTACAAGGACTACCTGTTGGGGGATTATGTGTATGGACTCTGTGCGAAGGATGCGGAGGGTCAGACGTTTGCTGCACCACCATGGAAGCTGATCATCGCCTACGAGAAAGCCATCAGAAAGCAGGCAGTGAAGATCACTAACACAGAGGGCAAACCATTGACAGTTGCATTGAAGATGGCATGGAAGGACGCCACAATCAAAGAGCGGAACTTTACCACCCCCCTTGCTCTGTATGCAAAGCGACCTACGCCACCATGGAGAGAGCAGCCAGATGCCAAGTGGAGATCCACGGAGGCGAAGGGTGGCAAGGGCAAGGACAAAGGCCAGAGCAAGAAGAGCAAAGGAAAAGGGGGTCAGCATTGTGCCACTCACACGCCAGATGGCGAATTGATCTGCTTCCGGTACAACACACCGGGGGAAAAATGCAAGATGGCGAAGTGCAAGTATCGCCATGTGTGCGGGATATGCTTCAGCCAGAAGCACCCGCTTTACGAGTGCAATCCGAAAAACCGCAAGGAGGCGGTACCACCGGACACGGACAGGTTTCTTGAGGAGGCTCGCACCACGAATGGATGTCCGAGTGGAGATCACGGAGTTAGACATCCAGACCGACCGTCGGTCAGACTTCACTTTACCAGCTGTACAGAAGAAATGGTTGCTGATGATCGCTCAAGGCGTATTCTTTGCAGTCATTGTCACACCTCCCTGTTCGACTTTCTCGCGAGCTGTATGGGCGAATGATCTGGGTCCGTATCCGGTGAGGAGCTCTACGTTCCCGAGAGGATTTCCTTGGAACAAGGGGGATAGGTTTCACAAAGCAGAATTTGGAACTATTTTGGCAGATTTTTCCTATGAGGCCTTGAAGCGCCAATTTGCTTGCAGTCGACGGGTGGGCTTGATGGAACAACCAGAGGATTTGGGGCGCACCTCAAATGATAGAATACCTGGACATCAGCCAGCATCCATGTGGCAATTCGCTCAATTTGAACAACTCCTGGCAATGCAGGGAGTCAAAACAGTGGTCTTCGCACAGCAGGACTTTGGCACTTCATCGCCCAAGCCCACAAGGTTTCTGATGCGGCTATTTGCACCATTGCATCCAGCCATGCATGAAGGGCCACCACAGTTTGATGGCAATGGATGGTATTTGGGGCCGCTTCCTCGCCGTTCAGGGGGCGCCCCTCTGATCGGCAAGCATCAGGGTGTTTTCAAGACAGCCAAATCTGCGGCTTGGCCTCCGGCACTTTGCCGGTGGACTGCATGGGCATTGCTCACCTCCTTTTTGCAAGAGTGGTCTGGGGGGAGTGAGTTTTCGAAGAAGAGAAAGGCGGAGGACGACCTTGGTGCCCAAAAGAAAGCACAGAAGAAAGGGTCAGAGGAGGCGGTGAGACTTGAGGTGGACCCTATGGACCCACCGGTAGCGGGGGGAGAAGGCCCTCCGCGCTGTTGCAGGTGGAAAGGGTTGGACGCACCATTTCACGATGGAGGAGGACTGGCTTCACCCGGGAGGTGGCGCTCAGACAAGAGGAAGAGGCCGGAGGGAGAAGGATGGTCATTGCTTGGGCACCATCTACTGCTGGAGGCTGTCAAGGTGATGGGTAGTGTTGCTGAGGTTGAGAAGGAGGCTTTCAGGATGGCAAAGGGAGGAGAGAGCTTTCGCTTGGTACGTGACGAGGCCTTCTTGAGGAAGATTAGACAGGTGCTGGGGGAGAAGTTGGACATCCCAGTGCAGTCGGAGCCGGAGGCGGGGCAGCCCTTTTTCCTAGACCTTCTGAAAAGGGTCCTGGAGAAAGCGGGGGATCCGGATTGGGAGTTCCTTGAGGAAGCCAAGACGGGGCTGCCCGTGGGAGTGCTAGGTGATCTACCCCGCACGCCCGAGATCTTTGAGGAGCAGTTGAGGTGGAATCTTGAAGGAGAAGACTGGGGTGAAGCAGTCTGGCAGAAGAGCAACTATGTTTCTGCTGAGGAGCATGAGAGATATCTCGTAGAGCATCTCGAGCAGGAGGTGTCTGAAGGCCTGACGGTGAAGATGTCAGAGGAAGAGTTCATTACGACTTTGGGCACAATCGGGCGGTGGCAGCACTCGCAGTGTTGGTGGAGGACGAGTTGACTGGCAAGAGACGGGTCATCCACGATGGCGCGCACAGCGTCAAGGTGAATCACCGAATACGATGCCGAGACAAAGTGCGGATGCCGGGGCCGAGGGAGAAGCGTGCTCTCCTTGAGGAGTACGAGGAGGAACACTTGACAGTCCTGTCATTGGTGGGTGACTTCGCCAAAGCCCACCGCCGATTCAAGTATAGGCGGGAGGAGCAGGGCTTTCTGGCTTGCAAGGCAGCTTCGAGATCGGAGGTGGTCTATGTCAACCAAGTGGGCACCTTTGGGATAGCTTCAACACCCTATTGGTGGGCAAGGCTGAGTGCTGCGCTCATGAGGGCAGTATACTGGGTGTTAGGTCCGAGCTTTCCGAACGACATGCTGCTGTACGCTGACGACTTGGAGGTGTTGACGGTGGGGCGTGTTGGGAGGATTGGCGGAGTTCTGGCATTTTCCTTCATGGCCGCCCTGGGAGCGCCCTTCAAGTGGTCAAAGCAGAGGGGAGGTCTCATCACAGAGTGGATTGGTTTGACAACCGATTACAAGCTCTATGCAATGGGTATTTCCCAGAGGAGATCGGCATGGATCGTTGAATGGGTTGGCTCATTGAGGGCAAGGAAGGAGGTCACATACAGAGAGTTTGCTGCTGGCCTGGGGCGATTGGGCTTCACTGCATTGGCATTGCCATGGGAGAAACCTCTCCTGGGCCCCCTGTATGCCTGGTCAGCTGCCATACAGTCGAACAAGGGCGCAATGACTATTCCATGGGCAATACAGTTCATCCTTGACTGGATTGCGCAGAGGCTGGGATCAGGTGGCAGGCTGGAGCAAGTGAGGAGGCCCCGGGGCACCGTGAGGACACCTTTGAGGATTTGGACGGACGCCAAAGCCACGGAGAGCGATGCCTGGATTGGCGGGTGGCTGGAGGAGAGCCCTAGCAGCACTGAATGCTGGTGGTTTTCCTTGAAGATCACGGAAGTGAGTGCGCCCTGGCTTTACTTCAGAGGCAGGAACCCAAAAAGAGTCATTGCAGCGCTGGAGTTGATGGCCACCCTCATCGCTTTGAGGTTGTGGCTGAAGAGGCCAGGAGAGGCAGCTGAAGTATGTGCAGAAGCTTTTACCGACAATAGGGGGAATGCCTTCATTCTGAAGAAGGGGCTGTCGACGAAGTATCCCATCACACTTCTGGTGATCGAGGTGGCGGAGACATTGAGGAGACTTGATGCCTTTGCCACTCTGACATGGGTGAGCAGGGATGGAAACGTCCTAGCGGATGCCCTGACCAATGAGGATTTCAGCGGCTTCGATCCTCAGAGGAGGGAAGTCATTGTCGAAGAAGATTTGCAGTGGTACGTCATGGGGGATCTCCTCAAGACCAGTGAAAAGCTCTTCAACGAGATTAAGGAGCACAAAGAAAAGAAGAAAGAGGCAAAGACGGCCGCAAAGCAGTCAAGGACAAAGCCAAAGAAATTCTTTGGAAGATGGGAATCCTGACTGAGACAGGGGATACCTGTGCCAGGACGCTCCTGGCACAGGCGGCAGGATTGGGAGAATCGTTCCAACCTGTTTCGGAAAAAGAATTGCACGGTTCGCGGCTTCTTTTGTCGGTTTAATGTTTGACAAGCACCTTCAACAGAAATCACTCATGACTTGTCATGACAGATTTTTGTTGCCGTGCTTGTAGGCTCGAGGGGTTTGTGAAGTTGTTTTTCCCAACCCCACCCTCCCACAACTTCACTCTGCCAGGTGGGGAGCCTCCACTGGCAGGTGCATTCCCGGGACGCTCCTGGGGGGATACCTGTGCCAGGACGCTCCTGGCACAGGCGGCAGGATTGGGAGAATCGTTCTAACCTGTTTCGGAAAAAGAATTGCGCGGTTCGCGGCTTCTTTTGTCGGTTTAATGTTTGACAAGCACCTTCAACAGAAACTTATGTAGACCGATCCACTGCCGATCGATGTCGATGTCGATGTATCGGGTTTTTTCTGGATGTGGGAACACCCCATGCGACCCGCCAGAGACCCGCCAGAGAACCCGCGTGGTTTTCTACAAAAGATGTGGTAGGCATCGCGCGGTACGGTGCCTTTGGATGGCGAAAGTGTATGAAAGTGTGTCATGTACTACGGAAGGACATCCAGACAGGATGGTTCAGGTAAGTTCGGTTGGAGGCCATCGCTACTAGTAGCTTCTTGCTACTCCTTCAGTCGTGGACTCGGTCTTCCGATCTGCTCGGAAGTCTGCTCGATCTGCCAAGGACCCATGGAGCCACAAGGACTTCGTCTTAGCCAAGGCGACGTGTGGCCATGAGAATTCGCAGAAAAACCGGAGGTTTGCGATGTTTCCCGCAACATGGTGCAGTGGTTTTGGATGGTTTTGGTCTTGACCAATCTGGCCAAAGATGCATCCACCCATCCACAAAACGAAGACATGTTTTCTCTCTGCCAAACTCACCAATGAACCCAGATGATGTTCACTCTGCCTTGAAAATTCTTTCGAATCTTCCCCCTGCCTCTGCGTCCGACCAGCAGCCACGAACCTATCTCCACCGAACCAAGGTCTCAGAGGACGGCATTTGGCTGGAGCACGCCTCAGCCGCGCTCCGCAACGACCGCGACGTGGTGCTGGCGGCTGTGCTCTCGGTGGACCCCTTCGATGCGGTGGCCAAGGCCTCGGTGGAGCTGCTGCAGGAGGCCGACTTCGTGTTGGAACTGGTGAAAGAAACCAAGGCACCATGGCAGCTCGGGTATATGAAGGAACTGTCTTTCAGCAGTTTGTTTTCGCGTGTTTTTCGTTGTTGTATTGTTTTTGTGTTTTTCTTGGATGAGAGAATAGATTTCGAAACAAGAAAGCTTGCGGTTCCACCACAGAAAGCTTGAAGTCAAACAACCTTAAAACATGTTTCTTTATATATAAATTCCCCAATAGCTCGGGGTTGTACAACCAGGGCCCCCAGCCTGGGCGGCGGTGTCCCGGTGTCTGAGTCATATTTAGGTGGTGTCTCGATATGTCTCGGTCACATTAAGGTGGTGTCTCGGTCACGCTTGGTCCTGGAGATGCGTTTCGACTTTAAAAAAATGGTAAGTGGAAATGCGCGTTTATAGTGTATACACTGCAAATGTTCCATTTCGACTACAAATGCGCCAAGGACAAGACTATACGTACATGCAAAGGTAGCGACGACAGTTTTTCGTTGGTCGGTAGGTTTGTTGCGTGTGTGCACGCGGGGGGCGCAGATGCGCGGTTACAAAGCAGTTGCTTTGGGATTTCGTGGGCCGGTCGCTTTGACTCGCACGATGGGGTTTGCGCATGCATGGCTTAAGTAATTCATGGTTCTTGCTTGCTCATGAACCGAGGAACCATGGTTAGCCTTGCTCACTCATGAGCCATGCGCATCAATGACATTTCCCGCGCTTGTTTGCTCACGCATGCAATCGCCATGGTGATGCTCGCAGCCGTTTCACAGATTCGGTTGCGAACGGGCGCCCGTGAAAATGCGTGCTTTTCTACTGCAAAAACCCTCATTTGTACAGCAAATGCCCGTTAAAATCGTGAAAATATGTTTTTGTATTTCTCACAGGTTTTTAATTGTTTTTGAGCTGCGTTCAATTGGTGGAGAAATCTACAGCTTCCGACACTGGTCTCTTGCTGCCTAACTCATTCCCTTTCCACCATTCGGCGGTGGCTGTCGGGCTTCAATCAGAAACTTGATGATGTTGTGTTCGCTTCAAAAAGAAATGCATCTGCAAGAGTTTGCGCGCGTGTCCCGTGTTGTTTTCATTCAGAGGCGCCTCCGCGGGAAGCAATCAGGCTTTCTTGTTTGCAACATCTTGTTGCGCTAAAAAACGCTAGAGGAGTCAGCAGGGGCCCACAATTCTTTCAGAAGTTAGATTTGATGGGGAGTGGGGGAGGATTTTGCAGTGCAAATGCGCGTTTGCAATGCGAATGCTCAAATCGCAACTTTTAAAAGTGTAAATGCATCTCCAGGGTGTGTCGGTCATGTTTCGGTGTCTTGCTCATGTTTGGGTGATGTGCGGGCTGTGCTTTCGTTGTGTTTTGCTGTTTTGGGGGTGTGTTGGTTCTGTGGCGGTGGTTCGCTGATATTTTGGTTATGTCTCGCTTATGCTGTGGTGGTTGAGTCTCGGTCTCAGTTTTGGTGCGTGTGTGAACTGTCTGCTTGCGTCTACATACACCTGAGGCACATTGGGCGCTGGCGCTTAAGCATCATGTCGCGCCCAATGTAATTACAGATTATGCACCGACATGTAAAAAATGTTTCGCTTGAGAGGAGCATCCCTGATTTTAGTTTTGTATAAGCATTATAGCTGGCTAGTATTTGCGTGCTGCGTTCAATGCACCCAGCGTAGAAAAAAATTATGCATTTGTTTATGGAGGGCCATTTTTGGTATGTTTTTTGAATTTGCTTCTGGCTTTTGGCTTTTGGCTTTTGGCGTCAGATCACCTTCCCCCTCTTCACTGCAGTCTGTCCAGTCTGTGATCCCACCAGTCCAGCAAATACCGGCTGACTTGCTCCTTGCTGCTCCAGAGAATTTAAATCTCATGCTCACAGGCAGACTGACATGCTATAATGAGATGAAATTGTCCCCAGAAAACGTGCAGGGCCTCCCGTTTTGCAAGATGATTGCCACAGAAAGGGCAAACAGCCCAGAGAAATTCCGATGAAGCGGCTTTAAGTGCGTTGCTGCAGAGGTGCCAGCATGAAAGAGAAATCAGTGTGACGACTGTGAACAAATCGTTGCCCCGCAGCTTTGGGTACAGATCAGATCAATCGGAGATCTGTCGACTTTTTGATTTGGCTCAGCATCATGCCCAGTTTGACTTTGAGGTAGAAGCATCCCCCGCCGCAGCAAGTGGCAAGGCCCAGACAGAATTTCCTGTTCAAAAGAAAATTTGCCCATGGGTGTCCTTCATTCTCAAGGCCAAGCCAGCTCCGAGCACACCGACCAGCAAGGCGCACCTAAGAAGAAAAGAAGGACATGGCCAGCGGTTAATTCACTCTGCAGGCAAAAGCAGCCCCCAAAGCAAAAGCACAAATCCTAGCGGTCGTTCATCTGTTCTCACTTCACCAACAGACTTGACAGTTCGTGATTCAGGTCCTGAACCAAAGGGCGGCGTCATACATGCGCCTGGCCAATGCCAACCTCCTCAACAAGCCTCTTCCTCCAGACTTGTTGGACCATCCGTGAGGCTCCTTCACGCAAACTCTGCTAATTTGATGTGGGTGTGTCATGTGTCATGTTTGCATTGACCAGGCCCTTTCGAGGTTAACCGCATTGCACCGGCCGCTCGGAAAAAAGGGTCTCGCAGCAACACGTTGCATGCATCTCGTTGACGACGCAAAGAATAGGTGACAAGAATTCCATGAATGCTCTGTCGCCGCCAATGCTTACCAGCTCAAGATTCGCCATTGCTTTTTGGCATTCCCTTCCTGACCCCCAACGTAATTTGAAAGAAGAGAAACATGTGGAAGGTGGGACATGCAGTGCCAAGAAATCCAAAAGACAACAACAACAAAGAAGAGCCAAAGGCTGCTCCAAGATGTGAAAGTCGATGCTTTTTGATGAATTGTGCGTCCCAGCTTGGGGAAAGATTTTTGGAAGTCGATGCAATGTTGCGTCCTGCTGGTGTTTAGCAGATAGACTTTTTCTCAGAAGATGACATTTCCATGCGCATAGTGCACACCAGAAATCCAATAAAGCCGCCACTAGGTTGCAAAGTGGTTGTCACCATGCGAGCGCTGTTGGTGTCTTTACTTCAGGTAGAGGAAATGGTACCTGTGTGTGCTTTGGAGCCTGGGTTTGTGCGCTTTGAAGCCTGCTGCTGCTGCCTGGCTGCTGCCTGGCTGCTGCCTGGCTGCTGCCTGGCTGCTGCTGCTGCTGCTTGTCTGTTGCTGCTGCTGCTTGTCTGTTGCTGCTTCTTGTCTGCTGCTGCTGCCGCCTGTCTGCTGCTGCTGCTTGGCTGCTTGGCTGCTGGTGCTGCTTGTCTTTGGCTGCTGCTTGGCTGCTTCAAAAGGTTCAAAAGAGTGGAGACATGTCATGGCGGAGCTGTGGCGGATGTACTTCGGTACCTCGTCCGCCACCCCGTCCGGTACCTCATCCAAGCCACCCCTTCGTTCCCTGCTCTCCAATGCTTGCAGACCTAAATGCAAACACAGGTCTTTGCAAACACTGGGGCATGCACATGGATTAGTATCAGTGCTTTGGGGAACCGTCATTTTGGTGGAGTGGATCATACGGAGTCCCATGGTGAACTCAGTCAAGAAACATACAATTTCCTTCGTTTCCTGATTATTGTTGGATGTGCGTCCACATGCTGAAATACAGTTTTCTGAGGCGTTCAAGTAAGATTAAACGATAGTAACAAAGATAGTTGTATCGCTGCGTCCTGATTGTGATTTAGATGTTTTTGCACTGACTTGTTTGACTTCCCGCGGCGTCTCATGGGAAACTGGCATGGTTTGTGAAATTGCTTTGACTTCTGCGGACCGGTGTAGCGCAACCAAAGCCCAAAAGCCAGCAAGTCCAAGCAAAATCACGCGCCAACAACCAGAACGCAAAACCAGAAACAAAAGACCGAAAGTGTTGCAAATACCAGAAGTTCTGACATTGACATTACAGATTTCCTGGCAACATGCGTGGAATTTCACCTTAAAGATACATAAATATGTCAAATAACAGGAAGTGTGAATACAACACATTTACCGCGTGGAATCTGAAAAACCGCAAGTGCCACTAATTCTATCGTTAAATATTTGCAAAATGTTGTAAATACATGCAACATGTTGTGAGTTCAGCTAGCAAAACAGTAAGGACAAGACCGTAAAGTATCGTTTAGAATCCTATAATAATGACAGTAATAGACATTCCATATCACGATTGGTCCAAACTGTTGCAAATCCAGCAAATCTGAACCGCAATCCTACCAAATAATAACAAATCTCAACCTGAACCTGGCAAAGTTCGTAGAAAACTAATTAAAGTTGCCGCAAATGCCAAGAAATCTCAACCTGAAACTTACCAAATTGCTAGTGAATACCAGCAAATACCAAGAAATCTCAACCTCAGACCTACGAAATTGCTGTGAATACTAGCAAGTCTCAACCTCAAGGCTCAAAAAGTGCTGCAAATACCGTCAAATTCCAACCTTTAAGTTACCCAAGTGTCACAAATAGCAGCAAATCTCAACATTAAAGTTGCCAAAGTGCTGTAAATACCAGGAAATCTGAACCTGAAACCCACAAAAACCTTGCAAATACCGACCAAAAAACCACCAAAGCTAAAAACCAAACAAATGCAAGAAAAAACAAAAGTAAGTCGCGGCCTTTTGTTGATTGTAACGTTGTGCCAAAATTCTGCGATTGATCCCCTTTAGAATATCCGGATGGCCATGTGGCCAGTATAAATCTGGATTTTAGTTGATTTTGAGGGTGCCTGGGAGGGGATGGGGCCTTTCAATTTGTAGACCTGTTATGGTCCCGGGAATGTATACATGGAGTCTCGGCCACCGGCATTTTGTACCAGTAGGCCAGTCATTTTGTAGTGAGGCCACTTGAGTAAAAAAACACTTTTTAGTAACCTGATTTCTGTTAGGCCCATTTGGGCTCAGAGGGCGCAAAGTGAGATCAAAGATTGTCAAATAGAATGACGGTGCCCATCCTTTGGTTGTCAATTTTGGCAGTCACCAGTGAGTGCACTACAAAATGCAAAACAAGGGTTTATAGTCTACCAATTTTGGAAAGCCTTAGGTTAGACCCTCCATTTTGTAGTGCGCTTTTCCCTTTCTCTTTTGATGATCGCTTTTCTTCAGCCATTGCATTCTCTCGTGAGTGTTCTGAGGCTCTTGGCATTTTATATTGCCGCTCTGCCCCCCGCAAATCATTGCTGCAAAATGGAATTCCATCGTCTCCATGGGTATTTGAAGGGGGATTGCGATTGCATTTCAACATGTTTTGGTGTTGGTGGAAAATTGTTGTCGAGGTGTGCAAACCTGCTTGCTTGACACTGCGTATTTGGCATCGTTCGTGTATATCCACTGCTTATAGATGTAGTTCCCCGCCAGGTGAGGGTTGTTAGATTTTTTGTCAGCTGGCTTCCTCCGCCTCCGCCCTGTCCGCCTAGTCCGCTTCCACTTCCGCCTCGTCCGCCTCCTCGGTCTGCTGCTGTTCCGCGTCGTTCCCCGCCGGACTTCAACCGTAAATGCAGGATGGCAGTGTTCCCCGCCGGACCTCAACCGCGAGTTCCGGCTGGCAGTGTTCCCCGCCAGACCTCAACCGCAAGTTCCGCTTGGCAGCGTTCCCGCCGGACCTCAACCGCAAGTGCAGGATGGCAGTGTTCCCCAACCACCAGCTCCCGAGCGCACTGGGCGCTGCCGGACATCAACCAACACACAACCACAAACGCAACCACAAACACACAGCCACAAACACGACCACAATCACATCCACAACCATGCAATCACAAACACAACCACAACGCACACAGCCCACAGCACGCAACCACAACACACAACCACAACACCCAACCACAACACCCAACCACAGCACACAACAGCACACAACCCGAGGACCCACAAGCAAAGCCGAGAACCAGAGAACTCACGGCCATGGCAGCGTGCTCCTCACCATGGCGTGATGACAAATGACTGAAATGTCATGATAGGGATCACTCAAAGTAAAGTATTTTTCTACTTTCGAAAAGTCGTCGAAAAGCGGCCTTTTTCTTGTCAATACTTTGTAAGAACAACGCACTTGCGTGTCGAAAATTGCATCTTCCCTGATGCCAGAACTTCAAGTATGGCTTCTCTGACAACTGCGTTCATTCTACCTTTAGTGTATGAAGTCTGCGTTTGTTTTAAACTGCACTTTCTGTCTGGTTTGGTGGTAATATCTTGTTATCATCTGTATAAGCTCTATTCCTCTCATTCTTTATCAGAATTGAACTTGCGCGCAGAAGACTTTTCGGCTCCAGGCCTCAGGACGACCGCCGCGTCCAGCTCCCAGAAGAGCCGGTGCAGAAGCAGGCGCCGCTTTCCGTCAGGTGGACGTGCAGAACTACAGGGCGCACCCACTGTGGTCTTGCCCCAAGCCTTTTCCCAGTGAATTTTCAATAAATAAAAGAGGCAAACTGCCCAGGTACAAAGAGCCCGGCACGGACGTCGAGTGCGACGCCTGCCAAAGGCCAAGAGCCAAGCCGCGTCTGCAACATGTGTTACTTTCATGTCACACACGCACACAGTCTCCGGGAGAGGAAGGCTGGCCAACTTCCTGGGATTCAATTTCAATGCGAGTCAAGCACCCTGATCAGGCCCCGCGCCTTTGCGCGTGTCAACCAGAATTGCTCCAAACATGTCGCCAGGGTGCACTGCCCTGCGCGCAAAGCCGCCGCCAACCCAGCAAGAGCCTAAGAAAAACAGAGAAATGGATTTGCAAACTGAGCCCGCGAGGACCAACCTCGGCTGGCGTCTGGCGGCCCAGCATTCCAAACCAGCGCGAAGGAAAACCCAGTCACCGCCGCCGCGCGTCTGCTGCAGGCGGTGAGAAGGGCCGGCCTCTTCCTCGCTCTAGAGGACTGCTCCATTGTGGTGGGGTTTGGCGGAAGGTGGATCGGGCTCTTGGGATTTGAAGCGCGCAACTGTCTAACGTGCGAAAAATGTATACACACAAACACTCTTTTTTGCACTGTATAGAAATGGTTCTTCAGGCGTATGCACCATGCGCAGACACGTGAGCACTTGAACTTTCAATTCGGCCATCGGCGAGCATTCCTGTATTGCTTTTCTGTGTTGTATAGACTATTGGAGTGCATTTCTTTCTTTGTGAACTTTAAAGAATTGTCCTCGATGCTCGATTTGTGAAAGAACAACGCAACGAACAACGCCCGCATAACAAATTACCGATCTTGGTGGATGCTTTGCTATTGGGGTTGTCAGCTGGGTTAGTTATATATATATATATATACATGTCTATGTTGTATATAGCAATCTATCCAGCAGTTTTTGACATCCCACCAGCCTGCACTCCACGCAGCAGCCAGCCATGGCACGGGTAGTGGCTTGTGGTATGCGGGTTTCCATCTTGTCTATTTTCCAAACCTTCCAAGCAAGTTCGTTGCCTGGGGGATGTTCCTATTCTATTTCTACACCCATGTTTTTTGGGGGCAACTCTCAGGCTTCTGAAGCTTCCAGAACTGAAACACTTCGCTCAGAACAAGTCCTTCCGGGCACAATGTGACGAAGTGGCGGGCACGGGCCTCGTTTTCACGTGGTATCAGAGCTCCACGTGCTTCTGGGACATGAGGAATCTGACCTGCAGAAGTTCTGAAGCGCTTTGATTTCTTTAATGTTGGGCTAAGCTATGTTTCTTCAAATAGTGTTTTGCCTTCAAATGCTTGCTTAAGCCTCCCAGTGCGTGGTATGGAGGGCATGCACACAAATGTCCATTGATCATTCAACATTGTTTTACCTGCGATCTGTCCCACAGACTATGGGGGCTACCACTTCTTTGGCCACTTGGCAGTCTCTTCACTTCCAGCCTCTTCACTGGTGATAATACGCCTTCGTTTACGCCTCAATATACCCAGACCGGGCGGACCGGACGGGACGATTGACTGCGTTCGGTCGGTGTCACTTCCCTTTTCGGCCAAGGAAGCACTTCAGTGCCATCACCGGTTCCGTTCCAGGCGGCAAGGCCTCTGAGGCCGTCGTGGAGGAGTTAAGCGCCATCGAAGGAGGTGCGGCGCGGTGCGTCCTCCGCAGGTCCCAGCGGTTCCCTCAGTAGGTACGGGTTTGGTGGTGGAGCGGTGCGCGGAGCAGAGTGGTGCGGAGCCAACGGCCCTGCAGTGTTTATGTTTTCTGCGAACGTATTTAGAACGTATTTGGATATGAATTTTGAATCAGTTTAAGTCACGGTTTTTAGATTGATTGTAGCGGGAAGGAACACGTTTCCAGCAGCATCATTTTACGCTCTTGGAGCGCCCATAAAGTTGTGTCAGGGACATTTGGGGGTGTACACCATCTACATCCTAGAATTGGAGTCATTGGAGTCCATCCACCCAACCAAAAAATAACAATGATCCACCCCTAAAAAAATCCGCACCCTCCCCGATAGAATGATTTGCAGCTCGCAGGTTCGCGATATCCAACCGCAGCTCCACCAGGTCTTTCCACCGTTTGCTTCGGCGACCGTCCCGTCTTTGGCGCCTATGCGGACGACGGCCGCTGGGAGCATCCGCTGGGAGCCCCCTGCGGCCGGGACGAGGCACCAGTACCAGAGGAGCGGACGGGCATGTGGAGCGCTCCTCTTGCCGGGCGCCGGGGCGAAGTGGTGCCGGAAGTGGGCTCGCGACATCCCTGAAGCTTGGTGAGTGAGTTGGCATGCGAGGTGTTTTGGGTGAAACAGGTGTTTTGGTGAAACAGGTTTTGGTTGGAAGAGTTCGGCCAGTGAGGCAGTCGATAGTTCAGCTAGAACATGTTACAACGAGTCTTTGTGGTGAAAGAACGGCTGAAGAGCTCAGGCAGTACGGTTTTTGTTTAAGGCAGGCAGGTGGAATTTAATGTCATGATACTGGTGCATTTGGTTTTTGGTGCAAGTGAGCCTTGATTTCACTATAAATATATGAGGTTTCTCGTTGGCGATGGCTTCAGCCGTTCATGTGAGGCTGGTGCTGCCGGTGGTTGGCAGAGGTTCGGGAGAAACACGTGCAGGGTGCGACCATTTGCTGCGCAATCTCCAATATCTATGCCTCAGACTCTCGGATTGTTCCACTCCCAAAAAGCACATGCTTCCGAGGCGACGTGAGGTTTTGGGCATGAGCAAAAGGGTCGTCATTCTAAATCAGTTCAGTTTATGTCCTGATTTGTTGGTTGTCCACGGGTGCCGTCAATGAGTACCAAGAGGGATCATCAAAGTGACTGCTTGACACTTTTGGGGGACGGGGTTCGGACACCAAAATCGCAGGTCAGATCCACGGAATTGGACGTGGGAGAATCCTAAAAGCAGTTGGATATGAATTGACTGCAGGATCGTGTGGTGTTTTCTGCAGGTTTCCATCGTCTAGCTATTCCAGGCGCGTGTATTCAAACAGTGTTATCAAATAGAAAAACTGTGACACAAATGACCCAGACACTCCAGACTCCATGCGGAAGATTTGCCGCTCAGTTGAAAAGGGGTCAAAAAGGGGTCAAGACGAAAAAACGGAGCGACCAGTCCCCTGGTCCCATGGATCGTGACCATTCATGATGATCGCGACCCAGACCACCTGCCAGTCCCTTGATCCGATGGTCGGTCGCGATCACCGAGGCTCTGAATGGAAACCGAACCCAACGACCCACCACAGTCGCCCACCGAGGAGTGGGTGAGCCACTACGGCGCGGGATCCTCGGAGCTCAGTGATGCTGAGGCGGAGCGCTTGAAGCTACCGCGGATGCTTGGAATGGATGCTGTTCAACCTACCAGTGTGCACCCAAACCCAAACTCCACCTTTTGGAGCTTATAGATCGGACAAAGAGAACGGGGATTCTGCGCCGATGTTGCGATTCTCCGAGGGAAGTCTTCAAGAATGGCCGGCCACGCAGCTGGGGCGAAGGGATCTTCCAGATTTGCGGTGAAAACTATCACCGTGCTGCACCCTTGGACCCGCGGAGCGGGAAGCCCTTGGGGCACAACTGTCGCTGGGAGCGGAAAGCGCTGGATCAATTGGGATTTCCCGTGTTCGCCTTCTTTATGCCCTGAGGCCATGGCCTCATGCAGCTCGCAGATATCACAAATCCGTCCATTTGTAGAGCCCTGCTTGTTGTGCTTGGTTGGTTGGGATGCACGTGTGGTGAGATAGCATTCTTTTTCGTGGCTGAGGGGTGTCCCATCAACCATGGCTGAAAGAGAAGTTAGAGAGCCATGAATATTTTTGCTGTAGAGTTTACAGATTGAATAGCTTGGCGCGGGAAGCTGCGCTGGACTTGAGTTGTCACGTTGACATCCACGTGAAGCGCTTGCCACTTCAGAGTGAAGGTGGTGTGCGGTTTCGGTGGAGTTTCACCCCCATGTTTGGGGGAATTGGGGGGGCTGCGGGTGCATACGTTTCAGTTCGTTTGATCAGCTGATGCAGCTGATGTTACTGGCATTGGGAAGTCTGGAGGGCGATGAAAGACGCTGGCGCCTTGAAAGGTTCAGCACACGCGTTGACCGAGGTTAAGTTACCAGAATGACTTCACGTACTCCGCCCCCCAAAACGAAAAAATGGGCGGGATAGTCTCTGGCCACTATCCACTGGATCCCAAAAATTGTTGCCGTGATTTTCCTCACCCTGAAGAGGCTCGATGCCAGCAAACGAGGTAAGATCTTCATCACCCGGTGGAAAAAAGTCGCGCGCAGCCGGCTCGAGTCCTCCACCTATCCCGGACACTCCATATGATATGATAGCATATGTACCGATCAGTTGGGGTGGTTGAGCCGGGGTATGTCGCCAGTCCCAGACAGGTGGTGTTTGGGTCGGTCCGCGCTCCCGGTGACTCACCTGATCCATCCGGGGTCGAAGGCGGACGGGCAGCAGGTCACCTCCCATGTCCCGGACCTGGAAGGTGCGCGGGGTTTACATCATGGATCGGACAGCCACCAAATGGATCGAACGGTCGATCGCCACATCCAAAAACGTCTTGGACCGCCACACGATCCACCGTGGGAAACCACGAGACGGTCCGGACTGCGCCTCGTTGGTTTGGATTGGTCGGGTTGGGTCGGATTGTTGCTTCCGGGTGAAGCACCGGACTCAGGGACTCAGCTTCAGGAGACTCCGGAGACTGTGAGTCATCCCTTCATAATCCTTCATAATCCCTTCTTATGAGGGGGATTCCTTTGACCCTTCCGAAAAAGATGGTGGGATGGGTCATGACTAGATTCGCTCCATGAGGGTTGTTTGTTGTTTTGTGAAGTTCTTTTTGCCCTGGAGGCATTCCTCCAGAATGCCGTGGACTTGATGCCTTTGGGCTGCCTTCAACGATAGAGCTTCCATCAAGCTATTTGCCACTTTGCCAGATCAAACCTATGTCCTGGGCCAGAGTGAACAAGTGTGGAGCTACGAAGTTGTTTTTCGGGATGTGACCGGGTCCTTTCCTAGGACGACATGTCAGCTTTCGTGGTATACAGTTAATGATTGAAGGAACCATGAAAGGCCAAGAAGAAAGTCACCTTTTTCACCTCTCCCCATGTCTCAGCCGGTCGCTTCGTCGTTCGTTCGCTTCGTCTCGATTTGATGTGACCCAAAACACCGAACCACCTGGTCCTGGAATGTGCAACGCATGGAAGCCTCTGAGACTCTTGGCTCGTTTTAGGGCTTGAAAACTTCAGATCTACTCCACTTACAAATCACATAATGATACATGCATTTTATATATAATATATTATATATACACACTATATAAGATATAAAGGCCACCGCTCGCCAGCAGTAGTTTGAACCCAGACATGGATTGAAAGTACACTTGGCCTAAAACTGCCAGCTGGGCGAACCCAGCTCCAAAAAGACTCAAACAAATCCAATCTCACACTCACCGATGCAGTCCACCATCTTTGTCAAGCAGCGAAGCCTCGCGAAGCCGCCAACCCGCCCCATGGAGCGCAGCTCCTTCCGCGAGAGTTGGCTTGAGACGGGCGAGGAACTTCGCTGTGTGGATCGATGGCAACAGCTTCGGTGGCAGTTCCAGGCTTGGCTTCGTGAGACCACGGATCCCGTGGTCTTACAAAGCCCTTGGCTGCGGCGGAGCACGGGAAAGGCACTCTGTATTTGTTGGATGTGTGCCCACTTTGTCGCATGGTGCTTGGAATTGATCAGCAGTCTGACAAATCCAATCCTCTCGCATTGGATTTATCTGAAAATCCAGTACCCCATTTGGTGCATGATCGGGCTGTGCCTTTCAGCCTTGATTGCTGTCATGGCAGGAGTCAGTCGAAGAGAAACTTTGAGGTTGAGTTTGCTGCTTGCAGCGGGTATTTGTTGTAGCAGGATGCTTCCGCACATCATATGGGGAGGTCGAAAAGCTCTGGGCCATGAAACGCTGATGCTCAATAACTTTGCGACCCGCCAAAGGAAGAAGATTCAACAAACTTATTTCAGTTGACTTGCACGTGTTTAGATATTTTCATGCCACGAAATATTACTGACTCACTGTTGCTTCAGTCTGTCCTCATATGATTTGGACAAAAGCTCATTTCGCTTGACTGCAGTTTGTTCCATTGCTCTTTCCAAGCCACACAAACCACCCAGAATGGGACCTTCACATGAGGTGATCTTGACTCACTGCAATATGCATCCGCTTGGGCTTCTTTTGGCTGGGACCCTGAGCTTCGGCATGCTGCTGCCGCCCATGCTCCAGCTCCAGGACCGGAGACCGCGACAAGGTCGCGACACACGCGACACACGCGACAGACGGAGCCCAGATGTGTTTTGGAGCGGTGATTTGTTGAGCGATTTGCTTGGGGCCAGCTTTTTTGAGTTCAGACTGACTGTTAAAAGCACAGGTAACTGGATAGGGTGACGGCCTTGGAGCGGCTTATTTAAATGTAGGTGCATCCTTCTAAATAAGCATAGCTGCCTTGAAACGGTCAAGGAGGCCGCCCTGTGGCTGGAATATTCCACGGCCCTCTACACGCTGGCCTTTCAATGTTTGATGATCTGCGCTTTTACGCAAGATTTCAGCAATCGTGTGTCGGCAGTTTCCTCCGGCATGCTCTACGGGAGCGGAGGCCATGATCCCTTGGAAAGCCCCCTCGCAGGACGCTCCGCACGGGTATGGTGTTTCCTGGCTGCTGGAAACAATTGGCTGGCCGTGTTCAGTCAATGGGCAAACAGCACCGAGAATTCTTACTTCCCAAGTGTGTTTGCTTGCCGCATACCCCAAGGTGTGACGCTAGGAGGTGTTTTAGCAGCCCTCCTAGCTTTGGGTTGCACTTTGCTTTCGAGATGCAAACCATGGATGAGAGATCTGGTTTTGACATACCTTTGTGTGGCGCCGACGCTTTGGCAAGTGCTCAATGGAGCGCCTTCGATGCATCAGTTTATGCGGGCCTACCACCAGGGTCACTACTATCCAACCTGGCATGAGGAGACCTATCGGTGTTTGAGATGGAACTGGCTCCTCATCGTGGCCTCCACCCAAATATTGATCCAGGCTGGCTGCCATCCCTGCACTTGTATTGTTGGCATCGGCTCTTTGATTTGCACGGTGTCTCTCCCTATTCTCATTGGGTTCTGGCGGTTCTGGGACCTCAACGAATTGATGGATTGGCCTGACTGTTTAGAGAGCTCCTTCTTGGGGCTGGGGGTTTTGCTCAGCCACCACGTCGACTGGCACGCGCGGATGAAGGCAATTCACTTGGGCATGCAGCAGAGCCGCGAGAACGCCGACGCCGCGCAGGGTGCCGCGCGGAGCCGCGAAGGGCCGGAAGGGCCAGGCGATGAGATGGAACTGGTCGAGCTGCGGGGCAGAGTTGAAGAAAGGATGCAGGATTGGGCGAAGGCAATGAAGGTGGGTGTGGTAGTGCACGCAGAGACGGAATTCCTTCCTGACACTGATGAGTTTGATCTTCCAATCACTTCTGAAGGTCTCAAAGACACCGAGCTGCTGGCAGAGGAGTTGAAGAGTGCGGAGCTTATCTTCGATGTGGTGATTTCATCGCCGTGCTTGTGCTGCTTGCAAACGGCTTGGATCTTGGGCGAACACTTTGGGGCAAAGGTCTTGCTTGATGAAGACTTGGGTGAGATGACCAACACATCGCCGTTCACCCATGCGTTCCACCCCTTAGACAGTGGGGTGAAGATTGGTCGAGTGATGGATCAAACTGCCGAATCTGATCTAGAAGTGAGATATGCCAAGAGGTTCTTGGAGTACCTCCGAGAGTCCTTCCATTCGAAGAAGAACCTTCTTTTGGTCACACACCCTCGCAGCCTAGAGGTTTGTATGTCGGTCTTGCCTCCAGTCCAACAACGCAAGATCATCTCGGTCTGCCCTTTGGCCACTCTCCTTGCCTTGCGCGACCCAGCGATTACTCTGCCCACCCAGAGATCTGAGCTGCCATTGCTGCTACCAGACAGGCGACGCCGGAGCCAATCCCTTGATCTGCCAAGGCGATGGAAATTTCATGATCCGCAGCGTCGGTTGGAAGAGCTGAATGAATTGCTTCAAGCTGTAGACTTGAACTCTTGGTCAGTTTGGCTTCGCGCCGTCACCACCCAAATGGCGCAAGGTGGCCAAGGCATGGTGAGTTCCCCCTCACCAAGCCTTGGCTCGAGCTGGGAGGATCTCCACCAGTCGCTCACCGAGCTGCCGCAACGGAGGGCTCTCACCACAGCACCTTCTCGTTTGACCCGTGTCGGCCGACCCTTGGGCAGTCGTTGGGGAAGCTTCAGCACGTGGCCAGCGTCGAGCTCTGTGAGCCACGCGGGGTCTTTGACAGTCATGCTGCAAGTGTCACAGCAAAGCTTCGAGAAGTACCCTGCCGTCCGAAAAAAGGGTGGGAGGTTAGAATAGATGATGGCACTAGCACATGTGTGTTGTGTGTGTGTGTGTGTCAACGCCTGTTTCTAAGGCTTTCACACATTGCAAGTTAATTCAAAACCACTCAAATTCTTTTAAAGGCAGGGGGCACGGCGGCCGTTCACCTAGCCGTGCTAACAAAGCTATTGTGTTCGGCTGGAAGAGATACTGGACGCAGTATCTTGTACCTGCAAATTTTTTACT